ATTTCATCACATTGGACAATGGTAACCTGAGTATGGTGACTGGAGGTGCTAACCTGGGAAGAACCGGTGTGATCACCTACAGAAAGACACGCTGGTTATTTTGACATAGTTCATGTGAAAGATGCCAATGGCAACAGCTTTTCCACCCAGCTCTCCAACATTTTTGTTATTTTTAAAGGCAACGGACCATGGATTTGTTTTCCCTGTGGAAAGAGTACCCATCTCACCATTGCTGCAGAGAGAGACAAGAGGCTGGCAGCCAAATAGAGCAGTGGGTGAAATGAGCTGTAGGTGACATGATTGGAAGGGTCCTTGTACTTAACTAAAGACAATGCAGCATGGAAAGAAATGGAGATTCCTCCAGGATCCACCACCATTATGTCAATTCCATAGGCCCGTGGAACTCTACAGCTATATTTTTAAATTAGTACACAATATGAGTATAATGTGTGCATTCTGAAGATATGTTGTTTGACATGTACTTGTTCTTGTGTTTTGCAATAGTAAAACACGTTTACATACGACCTCCTTTATTCTCACCTATAATTCTGCTGAGTAGTAGGCAGAATAGGTTTTTTTATTCATTATTATATTTTAAAAACGTTTTGTTATAGAATACTTCAAATACACAGAGAATAACATAATGAACCCCATGTACCTATCATCCAACTTCTACAGTTATCAAGTATAATCAATCTCACAACCTATACAGACATGTACAATGCATAAATTTTAATCAAATCTCAGACATATCTGAGACCAGTGTGGATCAGAAGAGAAAATTTGTAATTTTATTTTATTAACAGGGTTTTCCACATCATCTCCACAGAAGATGACTTGCCCAAAACATTTACCTAGTCTTAGAACTGAGGCTAGAACTTATGGTGTGAGAGCGAGGGTGGAGAAGATTTGAATATGGACAGCTACACCCTTCACTAGACTTTGAGGCATATAGCAATTCTCTCTCTCTCTCTCTCTCTCTCTCTCTCTTCTCTCTCTCCCTCTCCCCCTCCCCCTCTCTCTCTCTCTCTCTCTCTCTCTCTCTCTCTCTCTCTCTCTCTCTCTCTGTATGTGTTTGTGTGTGTTTTACAAAAAGGTAGGCAACTGTCTCTTTAGAATGATTTCTTCTAAGTCCTGCCTGGTGGATCCTTGCAGGTCTTAGATCTAGTGCAATTAAATATTTTACCAACACAAACACCCGGTGTACTTGGAAACCTTAAGCTATGAGAAATGGCCGTGAAGATGCACCAGAGAGAAGCAGCTGTCCTCTGGAACCTTACACCACCTGAACTGTCAGGAAGACAAATGTGATTGAAACTCGTGCTTCCATTTTAAAACATGGCTGGCGAAACAGAGCTCTGCCTTGGGCTGCTGAGAGAGTGACAAATGAAATGTTGCTTGATCCCCCATTTATTTTATCTTTAAAGTGTTTGCCAATACTGGAGCACCCCGGTTGTGTGGGACTGCCACACTGCCAGCAGCACTGAGATTCCCTTCACTGAGCTGAGTCCCATCTGATTTCAATGACAGTATTTTCTACCTTGCCCAGTAATGACCCAACTAGGAGATTGTCTGAAAGTGAGTAGGCAAGGATTCACATTGTCTAAGTTGCAGGTATTAAAGTGAATCCATCTGGAAAATATGGCATGGAGCTCTTAATGTCTCATTAATGGGCACACGGTCAGGCTCTGTCAGGGCATTTTTGTAGTTCTAGATCTCTCTTTTAGTCAGGTCCTCTTGAATGTAGCAAGATGTTTGTTACAATACAAGTAAAGTCACATATACTGAAGTCTTCTCATAAAACAGTCCACAACTGAACTCTGCTACGCCAAGAAAAATAAAAGTGCTGCGAAGAATATTTAGCATTTCTAATGCAAAGCATTTTGTAATTCCCTATTTGCCAAATCTCTCTTGAGAGGAGGTCAGTAATTTTCTCATCATCCTGCTAAAGGAAACAAGTCAGCCGCTGTTCCCAAAGTAACATATGGCCAATCAATATCTGGGATTAGAACACTAACCATTCCCATTCCAGGGACCACAGCTAAGCCAACAACAAATGTGGGTGTAAGATTATTGTAAGTTTTGGAGGTAACTAATATGATGAAATCATTCACCAGTGACAGGATGTGCATATGAATAAAGTTGAGAAAGAAAGAAATTCTCCATTGCATTTAAAACGAGGCATTTGTTCATGAGTGCATGAGTTGAAAGAAGGAAAGAGAAATATGTAGAGGGGGACAGAGAGAGAAAGAGAGTGGAAAATGTTGTCAGAGAAATTTCAAAATAAAAGTAGATTCCAAACACATATGAAATTAGGTTAGTCATTTTTAAAAGAAAATTAAGAGCTCTCTCCCAGTCTCAGAAGAAAGATAAAGATTTTAGAATACCTCACACACAAAAATCTGAATAAAATATAACAATTTCATATCATAAATTTAGTCACCAAAGGGAATATATCAAATAAATAAAAGCATCTTATTTGGTTACTCTGACTCAGATAGCAGGATTGTCAAAATATTATTTTAAGTCAATCTATATACTAGTATATAAAAAGCCAGCGACCGGAAGGACATAAAGACCAGAACAACCGGTCACTATGATGCCCACTGCGGCCAGAAAACCAGCCTGATTGGGGAGTGGGGCTGGCCAGCCAACCTCCTGTGGGCCCATCCCAAAGCTGGCCCTACACCTGATCACCCTCCCTGACCCCAATAGGAGGAGGGGCCAGCCAACAAATCTCCTGCAGCCCCACCCCAGTCTGGCCACACCCTTGATTGCCCGCCACCTCAATGGGCATGGGGCTGGACAGCCAACCTCCTGCAGCCCCTCCACCCACCTGGCCCCACCCCAGATCAGCCCCCCCATCCCGATCAAGGGCAGGGCCTGCCAGCCAACCACCCATGGCCCCTCTCCCAGGCCACTGGCCCCTGATCGGCTCCCCTACCCCATTTGAGGGCAGGGCCAGGCATCCCACCACCCACAGCCCCTCCCCCATCTGGCCCCATACCCAATCGGCCCCCCACCCCAATCGGGGGCAGGGTTCAGTAGCCAATTACCCACAGACCCTCCCCTCAGCTGGCCCGGCCCTGACCAGGCCCCGATCAAGGTGGGCCGGCCAGCCAACCTCCTGCCATCTCCTCCTCCCAACAGGCCCGGCCCTGATCTGCCCCAATTGGGGCCAGGCCAGCCAGACCCCACCGGTGCACAAACTCGTGCATTGGGCCTCTAATATAGAGATAAGAAAAAACTTCCATTTTTATTTGCCATTTAAGTTCAGAAAAATATATATATTCCTCCACCCACCCACCACACACACCCTAAACAATAACTTTTGAATCATTCCTGACCTCATCACCACACTGTTACTGATGTTACCCCTGAGTTAATTTTTATCCTTTCTTTGCCTTGTGTCTTGTCAGTCTAGAATTTTTACTGTAATTCACTAGGCTGAGATCCAGTATAGTCCTATTTTACCAGTATAACCTTTAATACTTCATGTGAATTTTTATTAGAAATTAACTGAATACAAAACAAACAAAAAATCCCAAAAGCAATATTTCAAAAACACCCATATTCTCTTTAAACAGGTATTTTTTTTTAAATCAAGTGCTCCAAACTCATTAAGTCCTATATATTAAATATGTACAGCATTTTGTATTCCAATCATACCTCAATAAAGTGGTTTAAAACACTTTTAAATATAATATTTGGTAAATAAATAAATAAATAAATAAATAAAATTTAAACCAAATGACATCTATCAGTAGCAAGAGGTTGATAGGACAAAAGTTTGTTTCATGTAAATACTCTAATAACTTCTTGTGTTAGTCTAAAACTCCTATCATCTAGTTCATTCTTTTTAAAAGCATTATATTCTTCTTAGAAATTACCAAGTTTATTTTTTTGAACTGAATCTTTTAATTTATTTGGGGTTGGAGAAACTAGATATATATTACTTAATATTTCTTGATAGTAATTTGCCCCCTTTTAAAGTGGTATCTCTACAGTATCTTTGTCACCCCACGTGCATTTAACTGAGACCACCACTATCACCAACCCCTACTTTAAAAAAATTTTCATTAATGGAAACTGTTTCAGTGTTAATAACTGGGGGTGTGTCAAAAGCAGGAATGATCTGTGAATGGCAAATAAGAGATGAATATTTTGTTCTTCTTTTAAAAACTCCCTCAAAATTTGCTCTCTGCTGGCCTGAAGATGCTGGTCTGTACACACTGATCTGAGTGCCATTCTTCCAGATTCTAGAAGACTCAGATGACGTGAGCAGATATGCAAGTACTGGTTCTGCAGTTGCTTTCTTCATTTTGAACTAATCTCAATAGAGACCAACTCTGAGTCTTCAGCACAGAGGCAATCCAAGGCCTGGTAATCCAAAAACTGCTGAGGAATTCTTCTGCAAGATTTATATTCTGCAAATATGGGTGATCATTGTATCCTTCCTGTAAATACACTCACAAGATGATTAGATGCTGTCTTCCAGTTTTCTTTTTTTTAATTCAATGTGGTCTGAGAAGTTGCTTGTTGATAAGGAAATTGCTATGGGAGAACCTACATATATTCCTGGCTATCGACGATGAGTTATAAGGTCACCCATCACAGGCTCTAATGCTTAAAATCACCTATGAAATAAATAGTTTATCCTCAGTTATTCATTTGCTTTAAACTTACCTAGAGTGAAACCCACAAAACATGGAGAGATCAGGCAGTTCAGAATTTACTCTCAAAAGCAAATATACCAAATTAATAGAAACTCACTGGTAGTTTATGCTGACTTAGAATAGCAGGATTTGCAAGATGATATTTGAAGTTAATACAAAGAGTGAATGAAAAAATCTCTTTTTTTATTTTTACTTACAATTTTGTTTCAGAACAACATACAAGATCGTGAACAGTTATGTGTGTGGTTTTTTTAGGTGCTGAGCATGAAATAAACACAGTAGTTTACCTTATATCTGCTTAGACCATGAACCAAATCACTTCTCTGAGAATAACCCCCATGAATATTATGAGATGGTCCCATGGCAGTTCTATTTGAGACAAAGGTGAATATTGATTCAAACTACTCAATTTCTCTCTCCAGAGATGCCAAATTTGGCCAATGAAGCAGCCACCCACAAGTGCACAGAACTGTAACATAGACATGTGTGAGCCATGGTGTTGTCTATTCTGCCATGTGGTGGACAGGGAGAGGCCAGACCACCAGCAAAGAGAGGAGCAGTCAAGATACAGAGCTCTGCATTGACTGATGGCTTTCATTTCCTGCTTCCAGGTTTTTCATGAAGCTCAGCTTCATTCTTGCCCTTCATTTCCATGTATTATCCTTGTTTTCTTATAATAACCCTCCCTTTTTCTTCTGTAATCTAGCATAAGTTGGTTTCTGACACCTTTACCTAATACAAAGGAGGCCAATGGATACTAAAAAGAAGAGTTTTGAATATGTATGAACAGCATAGAATTGAACTAGGCCACCTTCACTAAGCCACGTCATTTGGGGATTGCAGATTCCTCCTCTATCTCCATCTACAAATTCTTTTCCCTTTCAGACTATGCTTAGTTTCCATTTTATTTTATGAAGAATAAAATCCGGAAACACATTTTATGTCTCAAGACTTTGCTGAGCATAGAAGAATAAGATTGACGTGTCTTATTCTTCATAAGGGAGTAAGTAAACACAATGATTTCTATCAGCTGATAAACCTGCTTCAAGTTTATGCTTTCTCTTCCTCCTTTTATGATTCTTCTCAGTCTTTAAATGCTCACTAGCACTCCCACACTGCACATTGATTTTGAAGAGAAACCTTGTTAAAGGATTCATTACTATTTCTTCTTAAGTCTAAGTAAATGAACTGGCCTTCATGATAGAGGATTAGAAAAAAAACATTTTCTTTTTGGCTGTATCTGCACATCTGTATCATTCTGGCACGCAGTAAGTGCTAAAAAAAACTGTCAGAGATGTTGTATTGTGGTAATGCTCATTAATTCAGGGAAAAAAAATCTAACAAATCAACAGCCCAATCAGGAGAAGAGATAGTGAGACTGGCAGTTTACCTGGGGGCCCTGGTCCCCTCCCTGTCTCAGGTCTTCTAACACATAGGCCAGTGCCCTCATGCTACCCTCAGGGTACTCTAGCCAGTCTCATTTATCAGTATTATGACTTCAGTTTTCAGAGAGGTTTCTTCCTGCCGTCTCACCCATTAAATCTTATAGTTTCTCAGTTCTATTTTTATTGTTAACCTCCCCTTAGTCTACCAATGTTCTAAGGAGACTTAGAAAAGTATGTGTTCAAAAGTAGAAAACAATTTTAAAAATTAATGCAGACCCAAGAAAATGTACTTAATTACAAAGAAGACACCCCTACTTCAACTTCCCTGGGACCAAGGAGAAAGATAGCAGCTTGTCCAAAAATCTCACTAGGTTTTTAAAAACTGGCTACATTAACCATCGAATGAATGAGAAAGAAATGATTGTCTTTTTCATGCTTTGTGTTATTTTGGGTCTTTGTTACTCAAAGTTTAACATAGCTCTCCCAGTATCTTCTAGAGATTGGGCTCTCTCAAGATCCACCTTCTATTCCTCTGTAGAACATTTTTTTTTTCCAAATCTGAGTTAGCCAATCTAGTAAGAATGTCATAGAAGCTCTACCATGACAACCTAGGTTGGATATTGGCATAGTCCAGTGGATATGGTCTTTCCAAGTCTGGTTCCTTTTGAGTGCAAGTTGCAGCCTTATGTTATATATTCTGATATCAAATAGATAAGTGATGGAACACACACACACACACACACACACACACACACACACAGTCCTCCCAAAGAAGTCAGAACTCAATCTAACCAAAATCAAGAAATATTGGGTAATTTTATGTGACAATCACTGTCTAAATACATTTTATACCTTTTTCTTATTCTATACATCCATCTTTCGAGAAAGGTACTATTTTCTATTGCTCTCCATAGGTGACCTACATTCCCAACATCATCTCATTTGTCCATGATGGTTGCTAGAATCCTGCTACTCTATCTATATTCTAACAAGAAGGAGGAAGCAATAAAGAAGGGTATGCCACTTCCTTTAGGAATACTTACCCATAAATTGCATGCACTACTTCTGCTTATATTCCATTGTTTAGGATTTAGTCCCATGAGCATACCTGCATCAAGGATGTCTGAAAAAGTGGTCTTTATTAAAGATAGACAGGTACTAGCTAAAAATCAAAGGTTTTATGTCTGAAGAATAAAAGGAAACAAATAGGAGGCAACTAAAAGTCTTTGCCATGGGGAGGGGGCATGATGCTGAGAAGTAACTAACATTTGGATGATCCAGAGAAATAATGCAACCAATTTTCCCTTTATTTCCATATACCACAAGATGGTTAACCTAGACATGAGTAAGAGGATGCTTAAGTAATATATACACACAGAAGGTCAAGGCTTACAGGTATGTTAGAAGGGAGAAATTCAGGCCAAAGTTTCTACTGCTACTAAACTGATCATATATGCATATGTTTACCCCTTCTCAAAAAGAGTTTATCTAAGGGAACCAAGTGTTTGCAGTCACTGAGGCCATTCCATAAAGAACAAATCTCTTCATGGGGCTTTATATAGGAGACACTGAGACATGCAACACCAAGTCTTTGTTATTCTACAATTCAATATTTAGTGGAAAGAGATAACATACACTAATAAAAGACAAACATGCAAATTGACTGTACCTTTGCTATGCCTTAAGCCACGCCCACCAGCCAATCAGAGCAACTATATGCAAATTAACCCAACCAAGATGGCGGCCGGCAGCCACAGAGCTGGAGCAAGCAGGAGGCTTGGTTGCCCCAGTGATG